CTAGCTGCGGCGGTGCATGACCTCAGCAGTTTGGGCTTTTTACTAACAAGAAGCAAGCAGGGCAACTGTTCATCGACTCTCTTTGCTAGGGGCAGACGAAGAGGAGACGAGAGCCAGCTGCGAGTGCCTCTGAAGCCCTAGTATCTCTTTGTTCTGGAGCTTCACAAAAATGAGGTAAATGTCACCAGGCATCAGTTTAGAGGCAGGTGTGGAAGAGTTCCTCTTGGTTTGAAAGAGGCCGCTACCCCCTGGGTAATTAGGCCAAGCTCCACTGCATTAAAGATGCTGGTGAGGAAGAATGGCAGTGAGCTGGAGGCGGCTCATGGCTAGCCAGCTACCTATAATCAGAGAGAAACTGAACCGCACAAAAAGCCTCACTGTCCGAGGAGAATTCAAGCCAGCTATTTTTAGACATCACCAAAGGCTCCAGACAGCTGCTGGGAATTCAGATATCTCAAATTGGGTGCTTCTCAGGGTAAACGTGGAGATCTTCACTGGGGAGAAGTGGCACTGGTCTACAGCTGGCACCATATAAGGTGCTTTTTGGACTTATCCTGCTTGGTAATCCCAGGCAATGCAAAAGACTGGAATCATCCCCATTTTACAGATGAGACATCTGAGGTTCAGAAAGAGTCAGTGCCTTGGCCAGAACCAACATGCTGAGTGAGAGATCTGGGATAGGACTGAATCTGCCTGATTCCAAATCCTGCACGCCCACAGTGTTTTCCTGCCTTCCTGGATTTTTGCTGAGGAAAGAAAAGCAAATCAATCTCCCCCCACTATGACGTGGGAGAAAATTTTTCAATCATCATCTTGTCCCTGCACAGAAGACTCTATGAGTCATAAAATTCAGGCATCCTAGACACATACTGGGAGGAGGTGGAGGGTCAGGCAAGGAAGAACAAGACATGCACTATCCAAGAAAATGTGATTTTCTGAACTGTCTGAGGCTCCCCTCAGCAGGCGTAGCTGAAATGACATACTCGTGAGAATAAAGCAAAAACAGTGCACAGAATTCTCCTAACTTTTGGAGACAAATAAACAACAACAAAAAAAAATTGCCAGAACTAACAACAGTGTAACAAACTCCGCCATGTAAATCAGAAAGCAGAAGTCAAGTGTCTGTTTTCTCAGTGAGAGCATAAGCTTTGAAGTATCTTCACCGAGGCAGGTGACAAGGGGGGAAATATTCTGAGCCTTGGAAGAGGTTGTTCTCCAGTCATTAGGGTTTCAGAGTCACTAACACGAGGTCAGCACCACGGACAGCCACCCAGCTCTCCAGACCAACCAAATTCTCTGTGTGTTACTGATGAATCTTGCAAGACCCTTTCAGGCAAATGCAATTCCTTGCAACAATTTTCAAATCACCAGTAAGTCTCTCCCTCTGGGAGGAGGACACTACTTGCTGACACAGTTAGCAAACTGCTGTGAAAAATTAATCTAACTACGGAGGAAGTCCATTTCTTGGTTCTTTTGTAACAAAAGCAGAGTCCACGTGCCCAAGAGTCTGTGTCAAGGCAGAATAGCAGGGTGCCTGTAGACATTTGCTCTGCCTTGTAATGCTTTTGTTACTGTTGGAACAGCCCATCACCTCAGAAACACATCAGCTGGCTCCCTGCACCAAGCAGATGCCCAAATCAGTGTAGTGCTTGGGAGTTAATAAGCTTCCTTCGGATCTTCCCAATCAGAAGGAGTTCTGTGCCACTGCACAGGGAGACACCATTAGGGGACAGAGTCAATACCAACTAATGACTCTACAAATGGAATCTGGTTTCTACCATATCTGTTTCCCGGTGTGTTTATTCATTTCTCTGTCGGATGTAATGCCTACCAGGGACATGTGTGTGTGGCTTGGAAGGCATCCCTCTGTGTAGGGAGTCAAGGGTGCCATGGAGCCAGGAAATAAAACAAAAGGAGAAACTAGGGTCTGGGAAAAAACGACTTAAACTGAAGGTGAGGAGTCCCCCACCAAAAAGATAGGAGCTGGAGCTCTGAATCCATTTCAAGGAGTTAGGTATTTATAAGGTGAGTGGGCACCCAGACTGAGGGTCAGAAATCTGGGTCCCAGTCCAGGCTCAGTGCTAAAGAAGCACCCAGGCATTGGAAGTCATGCCTGCCAATAATTCCCCAAAAGTACCTTGAGACTGTTGCATACGCAACCCCATTGGCCATATTTCTTTCCCATCCCTTGATGACTTGTCTTGAATCTGGGTATCTTCCCTTCTCCATCATAAGATCTTATGTATCTTTCAAGGTCTTCATCAAATTCTTCCTCCTCTTTAGAGTCTTCCCTGGGGGCTTATTATCAGGAAAGCGTTTCCAGCTTGGCATTCAGCCCATGGCCTTGGCTAGCTCTGGGTTTTTGCCCATGGCTGGGATACATAGCTTTCCCAGGCATGTGAGATCTTAGAATGAGATTCAGCTCAAACACTTCTTGGCTCCTGCAGACACAGATCTTGCTGTCCCCTGTTCATATCTTCTGTGGCTGGCCAGTTCTACTGACACTGGTTCTGCTGTTCAGTAGAGGATGACCCCCTTGAGGGCAGAGGTTGTGCTTTAACCCTTACTGAGCCTCTCCATACCCAGTCCACACAGGAGCTCATTAAGTGTCCCTGTATTCTATAAAAGCTCCCCAGGAGTCCCAGTTGGACATAGCACCATATCTGCCTTCTCACCCAAACTGCCATCACCTCAGTCTCAGCCATGGGGGCCTTGAGGTTCATAAGGCTTAGATTTTCCTTCAGAATCTCTAGCTTCAGGTTCCCAGGTTTCAAACCTGGTATGATGATGATGCAGAGTAGCTGTGGTAATCTAAGAGAAACGAGGATTCCATTCCTAGTAGAAATGACCAGCTTCTGGGACATAATACAAAGATGCCTTTCTCAGATGATGTAAAGCCCCAACCAGGGCCATTCCACCAGCACAGAAGTGGGTAAGCTGGGGACCAGCAGCATCTCTGTGAGCCTCAGCGGGAGCTCCTAGCCGTCCTACTGCAACATGGGCAAAAAGCACCTATGGTAAGATTTTCATGTGTGTTATCAGCCAATTAAACAGTATTTGATGGCCCGTGAAAGTATCATTATACTTCTATCGAGTCACAACAATTTGTGTGTGTGCATGTATGTTTAGGTGAGAGAGAAGGAGACAGAGAGTGAGAGGGAAGGAGGGAGGGAGGGATGGAGGGACAGAGGGAGAGAGAGACAGAGACAGAGAGACAGAGACAGAGAGATAGAGACAGAGAGACCTGGTTTCTGAACGCTGGACGGTACCCAAAGGGATGTCTGATGTCTGATAACGTATAAAACCCAAACCTGGTTATCTGTCCCTGCCTCAGCCACAGCATATTTTAGTGGCAATAGCTTTCCCTCTGAACACCTCTGATTTTGAAGACCTCTTTTCAGAAAGTCCAAGAGTCACCCTTAAAATAACCTGAATATTGGCACCAAGGGGATAGGATGTGGGGATGATAAATCTGCCATCAAGTTAAAAACTCACTATGCTAACAGCTAAGCTAGAAACCCACTGCGTGGACACTCTCCAGCCTGGATTTCACCTACGGCCTCTGCCTTCAGCCAGCCAGGCCTGCAGACCTGAACTGAGCTGACCTTGGGGGAGGATGACGGTGTGCCTGTTTTTAGAAACTGGCAAGCTTGCCAACTGATTGCAAAGAAAAGTTTGAATGGGGCTTCAGAAATGCAGGATAAAAATCATCAAACATATTATCAAGCAATGAATTTTTATAAATAATGAAATTCACAAAGGAGTGACCTTTCTCTGCACACAGGTGTTAACTTTCTACAAATTGACCTATGTGGACAGAACTATATTTTAGGGATGAGTAACTTGGATTTCATCTCATTCAAAGTACAGAATTGTCTCTTTAGAAATGCAGAATTTCATGGACTTGTTGAACCAGACTACATTCAAACAAGACTCCCTGGGGGAATGTCAGGCACATCCAAACTGGCGGGCCACTGGCCGAAGGGTGAGAGCTGTCTGTGTTGGATGCCTGTCCCTATTTCTGCACTGAAAGCACTGGTTGGGGTGGGTTAATCTTCAGAGCTCAGGTCTCAGACCCTCCTCAAGGCCACTGGTTCTTCTCATAGGTCTGACGGTCACCTGGAAGCACACTAGGTGACAACCAAGAGATCCCCTTCTGAGGATGGTGATCCAAGTCAGCAGGGGCACAGAATTAGACTGTGTGACCTTTGACAAATTTACTTAAATTCATTAAGCCTCGGTCTTCTCACTCTAAATGGGATTGATTAAAAATGGCAGTTATCTGAAAAGATACAGGGAAGGTAAGTGAAATTGGGCTTGTGCCTGTCCACCCATCCATCCGTCTGTCTATGCCATGCTTGGAAAAGAAGCCAAGGCTTCCTGTGTCTAGACTACAGCTCACCACCGAGCTGTGCCCTAGGTCTGCCTCCCTCTTGGGAAGGGGACAATGATCCCTGTCCTCTCCTTCTACCTCCTCCTTTCCTGAGTTTGGAAACTCCTGGGTTTTTATAAGTCTCAAACCAAAACCAAAGTCCTGATGACTTATCCCTGAGACTCAGTTTCCCACTTGTAAAATGGGAACAGGGAAATGCTAGTGCCTGTTTTGAGGGCCACTGCGAAGACCAGACATACTAGTCCACAGAAGATGCTCAGAAAAGGACAAGAGGCTTGTGCTGTTTCTGTCACAGCTGTCATTGTCATCATCATCTTGTCATTGGAGACAACCTGCTCTGAGAAAGGCAGGAAGAAGGACAGGCAGAGTTCAGGATCCACCTCAGCTTTAGAAACAAGAAGATGGGTCGGAAAGTGGGGTGCAGCTGGTGCAGGGGGCCGCTGGAGCAGGACAGCGGGATGTGGGAGTTGCTGGGACAGAGGCTGGCCTCGGAGGCCAGGCTGGGGTGGGCCAGAGTGGGCTGTGGGGGGGCAGGAGCCCGGGAAGGTGCAGGGCAGAGATTCGGGGCTGAGAGCTCACGGGACGGGGGCAGGGCCAACTCACGTACACCTGCGGGCTGACTCCTGGGCCAGCTGCAGCCGGTAGACAGACAGGCGATTGGCCCCGCCGCACACACTGCCACGCTCGCCCTTGCACTCCATGTCACACTCGGCCTCGCTCACGTTGGCTGCCTGGATCTTGTGGCCGCAGTAGCACTCGGCGCCGAACTCCAGCCCGGCGTACAGGTAACCCCTGGGGGAGGCTGCTGTCAGGCAGGGCAGGCACCAGCATGGAGCCCGAGGTGACAGGGAACTCAGCAAGGAGAGCACACAGGTGGAGGAAACAGACAAGGGGCCCCCGTGCATGGAGACCGGCTAGACAGGGGCCTTCAGGAGATGGGGAGGCCTACGGGGCTGGAATCTGGGCTGGGAGGAGGAGACCTGAGAGGCGGCAGGCGGGCTGAGGTGTTAGGAAGCCTTGGGGGGAGGCCCCAGGGACAGGGAGAGCCAGGTGAGGGGACCGGAACACCCTAGGGACCATCCACCTGCCCTCACCTCTGCCTCATGGGTGCACACCCTGCACATCTACTTACCAGGCACACCACGCCCACATCACAGGCATCTGCATGTGTCCCCACCACCTAGTACAACACACACATGCATGCACACACACACACATGCACACACATGCACGAATGCACGCACGCACTCCAGATCCTGTGGATCCCCATTCTGTTCTCCGCCCTGGCTCGTCCCTGTAGGAGACAGGAGATGCTCATATCTGCAGTGTCCACCCCCTTTATTTCAGAAATGTCTCTCAGGAATGGTGCCCAGGCCCTTGGAGAGGGCACAGGGCAAGGGGAGGAGGTGGGAACACTCTGGGTCCTTTAGAGGATGGCAGACTGAGCTCACTCACTCACATGTGCAGTCAAGAAAGAAATTCCTTAGCCTAAAACAAACAACCAAAAAAATCCAGGCGCTGCAAGGTTTTGAAGCTATTTTTTTCATAGCCATGGAATCCTTGCCTAAAAACGCCTTGGTGGGTACTCAGTCTACAAGCAGTAAAGGGCACTGCTTGCTCTGGCGCTGGCCTAGTGACAGAGGAAGAGCATACGTTAAACCCCACAATGCTCCTTCAACCACTGTGCCTCTGGGACGTTCTCCAGAGGGCTCTCTAGGAAGCAGCCTGCAAACCAGAGGTCGCTAGAAGAGCCCCCAGTGGCGACTGTCAGGTCATATCACAGTATGCTGGCTGGAGGGACTAACCGACCCAGACTCGTGTCATGGTGACATGCATGGCAGGTGACATTGCTCTGCCTAACAGCTCCCCGGGAAAATATAGCCAGATCAGCTTAGATGACCACAGCATCTTGGTGTGTGACTCCCAGCAAAGTCCTGGGGCTCAACCAGGCTCCTCCAACTGCCTCCTTCAGTCTCTCTTTCATCCCTGGTTCTCAGAGGTGGGAGTACTGAGACAGGGAAACCCACGCAGGACAGAGTTTGACAGTTTCAGGGCCAGGGGAAGAACAAGGATGCCAGGAGAGTCCCTGGATCAGGAAGACAGTGCTTCTAAAAGTCGTTCACCAATCCCTGGACACTCCTTTCTGTACGGAGTGGAGTTTACATCACTTCCCCACTTTGAGCTTGGGCTGGACTTAGTGACCACCGATGAATAGAAGAAGGTAGAAGAAAGGTGCCTTAGTTCAGATCTTTTTGGGGGGCTGGAGTGCTAGGAATCAAACCCAGGGCCTTGTGCATGCAAGGCAAGAGCTACATCCCCAGCCCTGTAGTCCAGCTCTTGAATGTCTGTCAAAGGCCCATGTGGGAGTGTTGCTATCCAGAGGTGGACCCCTTTAAAATGCTGGACCTACTTGGCCATCCTTAGGAAACTTGGGTGATGACCTTGAAGGACCTGGAGGACCCTTTGCTCTTCCTCTCTTTCCTTCCTTGGCCAACAAGTAAGGAGTTTTGTTCGACCATGTGTTCCCGCCATGATGTGCTGCCTCACTGCAGGCCCAAACAGTGGGGAAAATCAAATGAAACCTCTAAACTTGTGAGCCAAATAAACCTTTTCTCTGTATAAATTAATTACCTTGGGTATTTTGTTATACTTATGGAAAGCTGGCTCACAAGGATAGTTACCAAGCTGTTATGGTGTGGATATAGGGTTTGAAAGTTTGCCAAGGGTCCGCGTGTTAAAAGCGTGGTCTCAGGGTGGTGGTATCGGCAGGCAGTGACACCATTCAGAAGTGAGACTAGAAGGAATGTCCTTGGGTCACTGAGCGGCATGACGTTGGCAGGGACTAAGGGACGGCTCATCCCACCCTTGGTGCTTCTGGAATAGGGCTGTTATAAAAGGTGCTGTAGTTGGGATCTTGAGGGCTGTGGCTGCTTCATTCCTGCATCTCTAGTGCACTTGGATAGCCAACAAGAATCTGCTCAACTGAATGATATTGTTTGAGTAGCTCCAACCCTTTCTTTCTGCCTTCCTGCCTTCCTTCTTTATTTCTTCCAGTATTGGGAATTCAATTTAAGGTCTTTGCACTAGGCTAGGCAATCTTTTTTTCTTTTTTCTTCTGTTTTTCCTTTTAAATTTTGAGATTTCTTTTTAAGTTGCTAAATTGCCCAGGCAGGCTTGAATTTGCCATCCTCCTGTCTCAGCCTCCAAGAGTGCTGGATTATAAGCACCATGCCTGGCTTCTAGCACTTCATTGCCGTCACCTCTGATAAATCTTTCCCAACACCCAGCAGGCGAGACCTCTTCTGCATTTCCAACTCTTCAAGAATCCCATATCAACTCTTATCCCCCCTATGGTCCTTTCTAATCACTTGTCTGTCTCCCCTTTCAGGCTGTAAGCTCCACAAGGGGAGGCACTGTGTGGAATCCATCTCTGTCTCCCTGTGACTTTGGAAAACCAATGAACAAATCTGCATCATCAAGGACTTGTGGCCCTTCCCCAGGGAGAGGGGCCCTGGGCTCAGGACCTCACCAGTGGCAGCCGGATCAGGAGAGGCAGCTGATTGTGTTTCCTAATGGGGACAGCAGGAAGGGTCCCTCAGTGGCCACGCCCATGCCCATTTCCACACCAGCCGTGCAGCTGAGGTCAGCAGACCTTGTGACCATCAGATCCAGCTGGCTGGAGTCCATAGGCGAACAGACCAGAGGCCTCCTGAAGAGCTGCCATAGATAGGTTGAAGGACCCAGAGGCAAACACAGGGGGCCAGCTCAGCCCCACAGCAGCCCAAGGACTCTGCTCACTAACCTTTTGGGGACTTGTCCACTCTTGAAAGTCATCTCCCCCACTGGCACCACACACCAGAGCATGTTCTAATCAAACCATATCTTCTTAGACTGCAAACCCTGTCTAAGTAAATGAGTGTTTCTCCTTGGGAGAGAAACAAGGAATCTCTATGCTCAGAAACCATTAGATACCTGCTATACCCAAGTCCGTTTCTCCCTTCACACAGATGTCTCACAAGCCTCGTGTTTACACTTGCTCCTGCACACACAGGCACGCTCAATCATACCTTGGCAAGTTGTGGGTATCATAACCTTTCACACAATGCAATCAGCTATCTGTACACACAAGCAAAATTCTAGACCCTCATGCACATATGCACAAAGATCACTTCACCCAGCAAATTACTGACAGATCAAAGTGTTGGTGATAATCTCATAAACATCACCAGCTGCCTTACACACTGAACACCACAAACACTCACTGCCAGGCATGAGTACACACACACACACACACACACACACACACACACACCTCACATAGCTACACTATCATAAACTCCTACAGGCCAATTCTTAAACAATATTGCTCACACACATGTATGTAAATTTGCACACACACATGCACACCCTTGTACCACCATCTCCTCATGGTTGGGGTTCACCTTCTGACACAGCCTCCCATAACAAGACAAAGAACATCACAGCAGGATCCTGAGGAGGAAGAGGTTGGATGGGCCAGTCTGGGGATATCAGAACCCTACCTTTCCGCACAGTTGTCCTGGCAACGGAAGATGGTCATCTTTTTGTAGTCAAAGAAGGACACACCTCTCAGGGCCCGACTCCGGGTGTCATCCAGGTAGCAGCCGATGTACTTGGCTTTGGGAAAAGCAGAAAAGTCAGATGTGACTGGGGAGAAGGCTGACGGGGTTACAGGAGGAAGCGTTGGTGTGTTCTGGCTGTTGGCCAGAGGCCTCGCTGAGCTTTTGGTACCAGCTTCTTCCTGGACAGAAACAGCAGACTGAAGGTTACAGGCATTGGCAGAGGCTGGTTCGATAACTGTGCAGAGCTGTGGCTGGGCGGCTGGTCCTGGAGACCGACCAGGAATAGGAAGGAGCCTCCTGTGGGCAGGGCTCCCGCCAAGCACTTGGGGCCTCCTGGTGACAAGTGGGTACCCAGGAAACCAAGCCATTTGGTTTCAAAAAATTTTTATTTTTAAATCCAATCACTAGCCATACATTTAGTTTTCTTAAAGGACTTCATGGTAAATACACAAGACAGCACTTGACGGTTTATCTAAAGTCTTTCCCCATTTATTCTTAAAATCCTTCTTATTCTCTGGCTATACTCTTTAGTAACACACATGTCCCATGGAATCCTCACAATGACCCCATGAGAACAGTATTCCTCTTCTGTCCAGGAGGGGAAACTAAGACCCAGAGAGGTTAAGTCACTTGTTCAAGGTTCACAGCTTATACAGGTGGAGGCAGAGCTGGACCCGAGCAATCTGGCTCCAGGACACGTTATAAACTGCTTGTTTCTTGATCCAAGGGACCTTTGCAAAGCTCCACGTGGAGCAGGGACAGTGGCTTCTTCATGCTCTTTACTGAGATGGCTAGAAAGGTGACGTGGCCTGCCTGAGACCCACAGCTCATGGGTGACCCAGCAGACTTGAATCCAGGCTCGTGGGATTCCCAGCAGCTCTTCCCACGGCTCCACTGGAACAATGAGAGGTCAGAGGTGGATCCAGTCAGCCCTTGGAATTAAGTGGTCCTCACACAGAATGGCTGAGGAAGTGCTAAACACCACGGTCACTTGCCCTGGCTTGTTTCCTGTGGCAGGCAGCAGGACCCAGCAGAGGATGCAAGCTCAGCCCCGAAACACTGTGCCCTTGGCTCTGCCCTGCTAAGTACGGTGCTCACCTGCCCTGCTGGACACTGGTCTTGACCTGGCTACCTGAGGTTTCTTTCAGAAGAGAGCGGTGATCTCCTCCACCGAGAACTGTGCGTCTTTAAAGGAAATACGGTGCCCTCGAGCAGCCTAGCAGACAGGGACAGCTCTGGAGGGCCAGAGCCCCTTCCCCCGGTGGGGTGCTCCACCTGAGGTAAGCTGGGAGAGCGAGCTGCCCGGGTGTGCTGCTAGCTCAGGGCTCACCAGAGCACTGAGAGTCCAAGGTCCATGGTGAGAGGGGCAGGAGGAGAAAGGGAAGGAAGGAGGGAGGAAGAGTAGAGAAGGAGAGAGAAGCTGGGGAGACAGTATCTTGGTCATCAAATCAACAAATTGCACGAGAGAAAACAAAACTATTGGGCATCTACCATGTGCTATTTTAATACAGGCCATGTCCCTTTTTTTGTTTTGTTTGAAGCACTGGAAATTGAGCCCAAGGCCCTGTGCATGCTAAGCAAGTGCTCTAACACTGATCCACAACCCCAGCCCTATGGCATGCAAAATTTTTGTCTTCACCAGCTTCTTATGAACCCATTTTATAGATCGGTAAATTGATTGTTATGACTCTCCCAACTCTCAGTCTAGAAGTGAATTTTAGTTTGAGCCTGTGGTGTATGTTTTGATTGGTAGCTACTCATGTTACTTTTTTAAAATGAAATGGGAAGCCATGGAATTTTCCCAAGTTCCTAGGACTCGCAAGTATCTTGTTTCAAGTTAAAGCCCAGGTCTGTTGTCCAATCATTTCATACTTAGAGAGTTTTGGTCTCTTTAGGCCCACAAGTTTCAAGATCATAAAGAGCTACTGCAAGACCTGAGAGGAGAGATGCTCCTGCCCCTGTCACACTGGGCCTGGGCCTGGATGCAAACGGACTTGGGTGGTCTCAAATTAGGGTGAGAGTAGGCACATTTAGCTACCTAATGATCCCATTGGGTAAGATTTGCCTGATGTGGTTGGTGGGAATAAATATACATATGAGAAGTAAGGGGGACCTATTTGTACCTCTTCTTTAGTGTGCTACCAGCAGCCCTTACCTGCCTGACCTGTGACACACTGACTGTCTGGCAGGGAGAGGCAGTCACAGTGTGGGTGCCACCAGCCAGAGTACTTGCCCCAAGGAAGGGCACACGACCCGCTTATTGGGCTCCTACAGATCACCGCAGGGGAAGGACCTCTGCCTCTCCTGGCTGATGACCCGGGCATTCTATAAGGCCAGACCTGCCAGCAGCCACCATCCGGCCCCAGTCACTCTGTGCAGTGGGACAGAAAGCTAAGGCAGAAGTGGGCAGAGACGCGGTGGCAGGAGATTGCAACACATTTTCCCTTTTAGCTCAAGTTAGCTCAGGTGGGCTTTTGTGTCCGTCGCCACCAGGAAGGCGCTGACCAGTATGCGGACACCCAAGCTAAGTAACATGCAGGAGTCCACCAAAAAGTGAGGGTCCGAGGCCAAGTCATGCCCAGGTCTGTCTGTTCCAAAGCCACTGCCGTACTAAGCTGTAGCTCAGGAGCCAGCGTCCTCACTTTCTACAGACTCCCTCTTGGGAGAAGAGCCAGGAATTAATGGTGTGTCCATCTGACCCAGTGCCTGGGCTTGAGATGTCCTACACAGCAGGTGCCCCAAGACTTATTAACAAGTGACCCTCCATTTCTTTATCTGTCGACAAGAGGCACAGGAAGACAAACAGGCCTTCATTAAAGCTCTGAGGAACACGGCCATGCTAAAACATCACAACATCACGGCCTGATGAGCGGGCTGAGCTCTGTGGGTCAGAATGCAAACACTGGGCATGTCTCCTGCCTGTCCCAGGAAAGCCCTTGTGACCCCTTTCCCGCTGGCTTTTAGTGCAGGCTGCCACCCAGCATCATCCCTGTCCTAGGAGTTCTGGCGTCCTGCTGAGCTCATCAGTGCGGTCACAGCCAGTCTGCTAACACCCTCTTCTGCCCACTCCCAGGGCTCTGTCCCCAAATCCTGCTGTGGCAGCACAATGTCTTGGAGACAGGAGGTCAGTTATGTGAAACGGACAGACTCACAGGCCACTCGAGGGCGGATTAATAGCCAAGATCACGCAAACTATCAGCTCGTCTCCACGGCGACCCAGAGACTGCTGAAGTGGCAAAGTTCCCCGGGCTGAGCTATTTATCTGAAGCCCAGAAACCAACATCCGAAGCACCTTCCTGGTGGTGTAGGTTTTCCTCCTTTTTCCTTTATTTTTTTTTTTCTTTTCCTCCAATTAATCTTTTCGCGAAATTTTGCTGTCACTGATAGAAGCAATTTGTTAAAAAGACAGCTAAACACAAACTAATTTGTATGCCTCTGATTTATTGTCTGTGACTAGATTTACAGTCAGAGGCATCTTTTTTGTACACAAGGAAGCCATCAGAGCTGGGTTCAAATCCTGAGTATGACATTGTAGTGATCTCAAAATAAGACCCAAGCGTTTCCTTTCTTTCTAGACTGGAATTGAATCCAGGGCCTTTGCACTGAGCTACATCCAAGCTGTCTCCATTTTTTATTTTTTATGATGAAACAAGTCAGTTTCACAGGTGTGGTCCAACCTTGTGCTCCCCCTGACTCAGTCTCTCCAGGTGCTGGGATTAAAACCACACACCACCGTGCCTGACTTAACCAAGCTCTAGGAAATATAATTTTTCCACCTGAGAAGTGCAAACAAAAATTCAACTAGAGATATTGTAAACTGAATTGTCTTGCTCCTACCCAAGAAAAGATAAGCTGAAGTCCTAACCTCCAGAATTTCAGCATGCTGCCTTACCTGAGATAAGGTCACTGTACATGTAACTAAGTCATAAGGCCAAACTGGAGCAGAGTGACAGGTGACCTTGAGTCTTTTCTGCCTCCAAGCTGTGTGACACCAGGCAAGTAACTTAGCCTCTCTGAACCACCATTTCTTCACCTAGGAAATGAGGCTCAATAATTCCTACTTGTGGACTGGCTTAGTGCCAATCAACAAATCATCAGAGTTTGAGCACTTCACATTGAGAAGCATGTGATGTGGGTGGGTATAGATTCCCACCACCTGGGTTCCCTAGCTGGAGAACCCTGGGTTAATTGCTTAACCTCTCTGTGCCTGAGCTTCTCCTTGCTATATGGAGTTACTCTTAGTTTACCTCATTAGATTTCTAGAAGATTCCGGGAGGTAGTAGATTCACAGTGCTCAGAATAGGATCCACCACTTACACCACTTACACACTCAAACCTATCTGTGTGAGCATCACAACAGCCATATGAATTCACTATGTTTTATGCCTAAGAGAAGACTGACTCTCAGAGAGGAGAGACCTTCCCCAGGCTACACAGCCAGCACACTGCAGAACTGGGACTCTTATTGATTTAGCTGCTAAAAGCTCAGGCTCTCCCAAGGATGGGTGAGTTGGCGGGCACATTTGTAGGTGCCGGTTGCACCGGGGAATTCTGACTTCCTGCAAAGAACCAGCCCAGCCTGGGTGCAGCTCCTTCTCTCCCCTTCCTGGCCTATGATGGGCTCTGAATTTTCTGCAGCTTAAGTCCTGCATCGCCACATCCAGAAGAGGCCTTGTAGGCTTCAGAGAAAACCAAATGCATTTAGCATCAAGTCAGAGAAGCATCTCAATTTTATTAGAGTTAATCTAATGTGTTGTCTTTCCTTGCTGAACCCTTGAGTAAGTTCATCAAGGACAGGCTGGGTCTGTGTCTTCCTAATAACAACACCTGATTCCGAAGACGGCTGACCGAGGGCCCGAGTCAGGGATAATTTATTATGTTCCCTTTCTTTTCTCTCTGAATTTCATAAAATGTGATTGTTGGTCTGGAAGTGGGAGTTTGTGGTTAGGATGTTATAGAAGAAGTGTCACAAGCTTTAGAATTAAATGTACCTTTTTTGAAAACTCAGTTTTCCCTCTGTCTACCTGGGTAATTTGGGGTGAGTGAATTGTCTCCAAGTTTTCAGTTTTACTGCCTGTGAAATGGGACAGCAATAGTCTCTCACTACTAAAGCAACGAAGCACTTATACCATGGCACAGTCCACGATGACTACTCCGTAGGCACTAACTAATAATAATAAAGACAGCGACTCTTAAGTGACCTATGATGAAACAAGATGTGGTAAGCACTTTATATATGTCATTTCATGAAGATTATATATGAAAAACAAAGGGAATAGTGGCTGCCATGAAGTAGGTGCTCAAGAAACAGTAATATTGTCATTAGCAACAATAGCCACAGAAGTCTCCCTTGGTACCCATGGGGGATGGGTTTCAGGATTCCTATGGGAACAACATCCATGGATGCTTATGGCCCTAACAGACAGTGGGGGTAGCATTTGCATATAATCTACATGCATCCTTGTGACTATTTACATCCTTGTGACTACTTACCTCATTTCTAGATTAATTACAGGACCTAATACAATGTCAGGGCTACGGGAATGGTTGTCATGCTATATTGTTTAGGAATAATGAGAAGAAAACATCTGTACCATTCTCAGGATAACTTTTCAAATATTTTCTACTATGGTAGGTTGGATTTGAAGGTGTGGGGCAGATATGGAAGGCTGACTATTTAATTCTTAACAACAAATGGGAGATGTTAGTGTTTTGTATGAATTAATTTCATATTCATTAGAGAATCTAGCCAAGCACAGGCAATTACCATGCATTTAAGGGCCGTGTTAGGGAGCGTAGAGGAAGATGAGTCATTCATTCATTCATTCATTCATTCATTCATTCATTCATTCATTTGTTCATCCAGCCTCTCTTCCATTCAGCAAGTACACGTGGAGCACCATCTTTGCACCGGGCGCTGTCCCTGGTGCTGACGGGACAGGGCTGATCCGCCCAGGCAACAACCCTGCCCTTTTGAAGCTGACACTAAAGCGGAGGCATCTAATCAACACAGAAGCAGACACAGACACAAGATACTTGCATGTGGTGATAAGCATGTGACTAAAATAAATCTGGGGAGCGTGGAATGGCCAGATTCTTTGAGTTAAGACACTCTGGGAAGCAGCTATGGAAGGGGAAGGCGTGGCTGGAGACCCAGTGGAAAGGAAGGGGCGGCTGTGCAGAGCCCTGGAAGAAGGGCATCATGGGTAGGAAGGACTGCATGTACACAGCTCCACATGTAGGATGGATGTGATGTGCTCAATGAGCAACAAAAAAGGCACTGAGCCAAGTATGCTGAGGGCTGGGCAACGTTTCAAGATGAGGTTAGAAAGGTGGACGGAGAGAGTCTAAGCAAGTGAGGGGCACGTCTTAAGGTGCAGGCTTGTGAAACTTTGAGGCTTTCAGAGGACCAGATAGCGGCGGGAGTGGCCACGGTGAGACTGAGCTTGGTGAGTAGAGGCCATCACTCACTTTCCCCATCAGTGTGGCATCTCTCCTGTCACCAGCACCCACAGGATGGGTCCCTTCCCAGGTCACCCCACTGCACCTGCCGAGCACCTCAGGGAGCTCCATGCTAGAACGGATGCTCTGATGACTGCTGCCTCATGACCGACTGGAAGGAGCAGCTCTTGTCCCCATTTTATAGATGTCAAACCTGAGGCACGAGAAGGTGATGTCATTTGCTTGGGACACACAGCTGGTTGGGGTGGGGTTGGAATATGAAATCTAGTCCCCCAGTGTGTTCTGCCTCCTTCACCTCCTTATGAATTCGGGGGTCTTGATGAGGAAGAAATCTAGGGAATCCCAAGGGAGGAGAGGCAGAGTCTTCTGCTTGGTTCCTGAGCCCAGCACAGAATAGGACGGGGGGCAAATTCCTTCCATTAATGCCTTGATAGGGAAGGGATTTTCTCTGAGTTGAATTACAGTGAAACACAAAAACTATCAAGGTTTTCCCTCTGCTCTGATTGGGGGTTTACTCTCCCTTCTCATCTGGCATAGGATGGTGAATCTTATGAATCACAGGGATTGTGGCTCCCACCCCAGCACGGGCAGGTGCAGCAGATTCAAGGCTATGGTCACAGAGAGCAAAGCACTCCAGCCAGGTGGATCTGATTTCAACTCCCACATGGTCTCCAATCAGCTGTGGGTTCTGGACTCTGGGCCTACACTTGTTCAATCCTTGATTTCTACATCTGCTAACTGGGTATAAGAGGCAGGTGCCTCATTTGAGCCCATAAAATTTAGCAAAACTCAAAGAAAAGCCCTTTTTGACTGTGAAAGGCTGAGAAAAAGTGGGGAAATACGGCCAGGGAGATGATGTCCCCTGAGAACCATCACCAAGGGACTCAGTGTGGCACACCAAGAGAGTTTGACAGAGCCCAAGCCCTGCCACTTAGTAGCCATGTAATCGTGGTGCCCCATTTCCTCATCTTTACAGATGGGAACAGTTGAATGCACAGGGTCAAGGCAACCATTCAAGACACATAAAATGCTTACACCACCACCTGGTCTGGAGGGCTCAGCAAACGCTGACTGCTTTTATTTTCATGAATAGTTAATATGTAATGAAAAGGGCTTTAGGAGATGGGAGTCAAGCTTTGAACCCTAACAGATGTGGGGTCCAAACCCAAACTTGCCTATTGATGAGATGTGGAACCTCATTCAAGCTACTTAATTTCTGTGAGCTACTTAATTTCTGTAATGATAACAGAGATGATTATAATGGGATCTGCTACATATGTGTAGCTGTAACTCTATGACAGCTGATTCCAAAAATGGCACGTGTTTAAATTTTAAGTGTCTATTACAGTAAAAAATAAACATTACTCTTAGTTCCTCTCCAAATATTCCCTCTTGTTCTGAGCACACATCCCATGATTCCTGTCACCTTCTAGAACAGTCCTGGAAGTCCTCCTCTGTGAGTGACTTTAGTTGGGCAGTTACGGCTACCTTGATGTCTTGAACAGATTCAGAGTGTTTAACTTTCCTGGTCATTTGGTCACGGGTGTGAGTTGTGTGGTCCAGATCTGGCGAGTAAGGTGGATGAGGACCACCTGTTCCTACAAGCCTGGGTGATGCTCATAGCAACATTCACTGAACTGATCACCCTGGTGAAGACACTCATGAAAAGGACCTCCAGAGCAGCTTCGGAAGGTGGGAAGCATGATGGGATTAGTGTGTGCAAAGACAAGGGGTAGCTTTGGAGGGTGGGAGAGGATTCGTGGCAATGTGTCTTTTACTGTAATAAATATTTAAAAATGTAAGCATTTACCCTATATTTTGAATGCACCAAAACGCTGAAAACCGGCAGCTTTTATGGTGTCATTGCCATTCCCTCTGGTTCCTCCAGTCCCTCGTGGTGGTCTGCCCGCTCTTACCTCGCTCCTCCTCCTTCTCCCGGACAACCCTGCCCTTGAGGGCGCGGCTCCAGGCCCCACCGTAGTCGCCCAGCTTGGCTCTGTCCACGGAGTCCTTGCCCTTGAACGAGGGTCCGTACCTGCGGGCAATGCTTGAGGCTTCACCAGCGTCGCGGAAGCCTCTGCCCAGATGCAAGTCTCCCAGGAAGGGCAGCTCAGCGCCCTCGGCAGGGCCTCCGACGGCGGGGTTGGCCTGGTTCTGAGAGACTGCAGGCTGACCCACGAAGCCAGAGTGCAGGAAGACGAGGCTCCCGGCGGTCAGGTAGAGAGCCAGGAAGGTAAAGAAGCGCACTGGTTTCCTGCGGAAGTACCGCTGGAATTTGAACCAGAGCTTGGCCATAGCGGGATCATTCCGGACAGGCTGGGCTGGCAGGGTGGACAGGGGAGGGAGGCGGCTTGGTTGCTCAAGTTTCCCTTAAGGGAGAAACCCTTGGGGCTCCTCAGACTTGCTTCCTCTGCACAGGGGAGCTCCGAAGCCAGAGCGGGAGGGCAAGGCCAGCGCTTGGCTGAGGTTAAGCAAAAGTAGGACAGAGCTCAATGGCCTCCCAAAGTCACGGTGAGTCTCCTGGGGCCGAGAAAGGGGACGCACTGCAGGTAGCTCCATCTTCCTACATTTTAGCCTTCACTCCAGATAGGTCCCAAGGAACTCCAAAAACAGTCATTGGAGCGGGGTCCGGGGTCACCAGCCCAGGAAGTCACTCCTTTCCCATTCTGGCCTCGTCAGGAGCACGATTATTTCACTGAGGGCCTTGACTCTGGCCTTGCCCACAGCTGGGGACCAAGTTCCACGTGTCTGCCTTTTGGGAATAGAAGCTGATGGCCTCCATCCAGTCAAGCATCAGGGCTCAGGGCTGTCACCTGTAAGATAGCACAGATAAGGCATGAGGAGTCCCTCGCTGGGGTGCAGGACTGTTTGAAGGGATCGTGAGCATCCTCGAGGGAGGATTCAGAGGCTCAGAGGAGATTGCCGATGGCCCAGATCAGCTCAGAGCCCAGGCCCGAGCCTTCCAGAAGGAACAGCCTTTCCTTCCAGCCAGACTGGACTGGGTGGTGGGGGAGTGTGAGTCCTCCTGGGCCCCAGTTTTGGCACAAACTTTATTTGGGCCAAGAACAAGTCCTTATGGGCTAGGAATTTACAGCTGGACCTGTGGCAGTTTGTTCCAGGACCCTCCAGGGGTACCCAAACCCACAAGTGATCAAATCCCTTATGTGGTACGGTATTTTCACAGGATTTAAGGGTATCCTATCTTGTGTTTTAAATCACCTCTAGATTGCCCATAACGTCAAATACAGTGTCATGCTCTTTAAGTAGTTGCTGTACTGCATTGTTTTAATGATAAGAAAAAGTGTGTATGTTCACAGCAGATACCAGATTCTCTGAGTATTTTCCATCTATAGTTAGTTGAATCTGAAGGTGCAGAATCTGCAGATATGGGGAGCTGAATGTACACTGCTCCATATTTCCTACATATTTTTCAAATATACACTGACCTCCTTAAGCCAAAAAACCAAATTCATTCATTTCCCTCCCAACAACATTTCATGAGAACAGGCACTGTCCTAGTCACCGCTCCAGGTACTGCAAATGAAGCCATGGAGACAGAGACGACATCCCTTTCCCCACAGGGCTCACATCCTACTGGCAGGAATCAAGTCCCTGGGCTCCCTCTTCCATCCAAGGAAGGAAAGGAAAATGAAGAGATGCAGGATTATTAACCAACACAGTCCTGCCTTCAGTGTTTATTGAGTGCTTACTGTGTGCCCAGCTTTGTTTCACTCCCCCTCTCCGTGTATGGCCTCCTGCCTCCTTCTCTTCACCCCTGTGGTGGTAACTATTTCCATAGTCCACAGATGAGGACAGTGAGGTCACACAGCGAGCCAGAGGTCAAGTTGGGATTTGAAGCCAAAATGGTCTGAATCCCAAAGCGTAGTTCTTAACCACCGTCTTTTTGATTCTGTCTTTCCCTGACGAAGCGTGAACATCACTAGGGAATTCAGCAAAATGAAGCAACAGCCCATCTCCACTGTGTCCCAGCTCCTGGGAGTGGCTCTCCCTTCCTCGGGGTCTCTGGGAGGGTGCTCTGAAGAACCTCAGATTCAGAAGCCCTTGAGCGTGCCTGGTAAGCATGAGCATCCCTGACCTCTCTAACCAATATCTCAGGTTGAAACAGAAATCTACAGGCATCACAAGGTGCCCTCAGATGACGGGGATAAGCATAGAGGGTTAATAACCACTGCTTTGTGAGTAAACACTCAGGATCAGGCGCTAGGAGAAAACCAGACTGTGAATTAGAAAACAGAGAAACCTCACCTGGACTACAACCAGCAGGGGGCACCACGACAATTTTAGCCAAAGCAGCCAGACTCAAATGTTGACAGTGGATGATCTGAATTGTGACAGCTCTTTCTAATTCAGATAACATTGGGATTTTAACTGTGATTTAGAGTTTTACATCTCATGTATTCAGGAACTATTACTGAGCACCAATCACCGCATAGGCATTTGGAATGGGTAAGTGAACGAAACAGACAAAAATCCATGCTCTTGTGGAGTCAAACCATCCATCCATCTACCCATCCACTCATTTATCCATCATTCATCCACATCCACTACACATCCATTCATTAATTCATCCATCCATCCATGCATCCATCCATCCATCCGTGTATCCGTCCATCCATCCATAATATCACCATCATCCATCCATCTATGTGTTATACTAAGATGCTAAAAAATTAAAATAATTGATTAAAGGATAATTAGCAAAAATAGTTAGTTAAAAAGAAAATCATTAGCAATATTGTCATTCTGTACTGAGCTCGTTACTATAGTATCCAAGCACCAACCACATAGTTATAGATTAACTGACTGCATCGTTATGTTGTTCTGTACATGCCCCCCGCCCCAAGTAACCTGTGTGCTACGTCAACCTTTGTTTCCCTTGTAAGAGACAAATGATGCTGTGTCAACCATTGTTCCCTTTATGAGAGACAAATGTTCGTGGAATTGGCAGACCAAGGGCTATGAATTGGCTAACCACCCACTGTGAAATGCCTCTTACCTCAAGCAAAGAGGAACAAAGGCCCACCTTATTTCTGTTTCTCATCACTATGTACTTAGTGATCAATGAGCTAATCATAAATGAACTATAAAAATCAGTCAAACTCTAACTCAGTTGCACAGCTTTGCAAATTCCATCTGCACTGTGTTGCAGAGCCAGCTAAAATAAAAGCGCTTCTTTTAAAAGAAGATGCCTTGTCCGGGATCTTTCCCCATTTTTCAACATGGGGCCTTCTTTTTGGGTGGGTTACAACATTTGGAGGCCAGAGTCAAGGCCCTCAGTGAAATAATCCTGTTCCTGACGAGGCCAGAATGGGAAAGGAGTGACTTCCTGGGCTGGTAACCCTGGACCCCACTCCCCATGTTTTTTTCACCAATCAATCGGCTTGAACCATCTGTAAGTATTTGGGTCTTTTGTTCTTTGTAATTTGAGTGCGCACATTTGAAGTTGCAGAGGAGCTTGGCTGGCTCCTTCTGCACTGGAGCTGGACGCCCTCCGGGACAGGGCTGCTAGCCCATTTGTGGTTTGGGATTTTTTTATCCATTTGGTTTTGTGCTTGGTATATTTTTATTGTGGAGCCATTTGTTCTTTTGAATCTGTTACCTCCGTGCTAACATTCAGATTTCTTTTTTCTCTTAAACTACTGTTGCAGGTTACATGTGACTTATTGGACTTAAAGGTCATAATAAAAATTTATTTCCCTTTAGGTCACGGAACCACGGACAGAAAAACCTTTGTTTGTGTCTTTAATGTTGGTCTTGTCTTTTGTGGCACCTTGTTTAATGTTTTAGTCCTCAACTGATTATGTACAGCCTTGGCATGCCTTTAAAAGTATTTTTCTTTCTGGTAAAAATGTAAATATATATATATATATGCATATATATATTTACACATATATATGTTTATGGTTTTTAAAATCATATGGACTTTACCAAGTAAATCAGGTCATACTGTTATTGAGCCAATTTGAAAAGTTACAGTTTTTAAAATGTAACATTTTAAGGTGGTAAAAAGACATAAAATGATTAATATTTTAGACTACTAAGAAAGTCACTTCAAGGATTTTGCTATAAGTTTTAATGTTGTCTAAAAAGCTGGAAAAAGGTAATTGACTGGTAATAAGTAAAAAACAGAAAAACAAATGTGTTCAGAATTTGACAGAATTGGATCAGTAAACCTTTACTGCAAAATGTTTACATTAAAATAAGATTATATTCTAAAAAGGGGGAGAACCTGTCTTCTCCATTCATCACCCCACTTGTGATGACTGCCAGCAGATTTTGCAGGTTTTGTTTACAGTAAAAGAGAGAAAAAACATTCATGCTGCGGGATAAAAAGCAGTGTGCATTACAAATAAAAACCTGTCCTCTGATCCTGAGTGCCAGAATTATGTTTTCCCTTTGTCCCGCCCCGACTGAACAACCAGAGGTAAGAAGCCTCTTGTTCAGTATCGCCAGTTGTTCTCAGAAGCCTTTAAGGGCTGCCGGAAAACCCACCAATTTGTCCAAGGTAGCAGAGGTGAGACAATTGGATGATGAGTCCCCCTCGGGGTTTCTGGAGAGATTACTAGAGGCCTATTACATTAGATTATAGACTCACGAGACCAGGCTTTTAAGCAACTAAAATCAGCCTTAACAGAAGCTCCAGTTCTGGCTCTGTCAAAGTTGCAAAAACCTCTTTCCCTCTATGTTGATAAAAAGCAAAAGACTATGGCAAAGGCCTGTTGCCTATCTTTCCAAGAGACTTAATGTGGCAGCCCAATGGCTGCCTTGCCTGCAGATGATTGCCTCGGTATCTATCTATCATTCATCCATCAGACCACTTGTTCATCTACTCAATAGGCCATCCATCCATCGAAGTCCATCCATCTCTCTGAACTGTACAACCCATCCATCCAACTCCCTACTAATCCAGGTATCCACCCATTATTCCACTCACTTGCAAACATGCTGATTGTCTAGTATGTGTGCTGGGATGCAGGAATAAATAATTCAGAATCTCCACTTTCAGAGAATTGAGGGCCAACCAAAGGAGAAATCAGTTTAAGCAGCAACTGTACCACACAGGCAATGATAAATCCCATAGCAGAGATATGTGTGTGCACGTGATGTAGACTTAATTAGTAAAGTTTATCGAGCATTTAACACAGGCTGGACATTGTCGTTTCTATGTACATACATAGTCTGATACGCTGCTCATCACGATTCTGCAAGAGAGACTTGTATCTGTTTTACAGAGTTGCGGAAATGAGTATCATGGAGATGAAGTAAGATGTTCAGAGTCACCCAGTTGGTAAATGGCGGCCGGCTTGCGAATCTAGACCTCGCCTACTTCAAAGCCATATTGCTTATCACGGCCCTACTCTCGTGTCTCTTAAGAACAATGACAGACAGCTATAGACACACACCCAGAGAAGAGGCTTTTCACTTAAGCCTTCAGAGTTTGGCTTAAAATGTCAGAAGGTTTGTGGACTGTAGTGTGGGGAGCCCTGGAGGGTGGGAGCCGAGGCGGCGAGGGTCTACATCTGCCTGGGGATCAAAGACAGCTTCCCCAGGAGGTATCTTTGACTTGAAAGGTCTTGCAAAAGAGGCAGAAAACATCTTACAAAAGTTCAGTGGGGAAAGGAGCAGTAGAAAGATAGTTCAGAGAAGAGGGCGGCACACACAGAGGGCAGAATCCAGACTGCGAGGTCCTGGAAAGTGAGCTCAGGAGTATAAACTTTGTTCTGACAGCATGCGTGGAGTCCACTGAAGTTCACGGTCACACTGACACGTGAGGAAGACCAGCGTCTTACCA